AGTGTGAAGCAACCCATTTAAATAGATTTGCCTGATATATATTTTTCACAAAATTCTGTGTGCAGCAGTCTTATTTGTTTTTTTTTCTGTTATCTTTATATATCCTGAAAAAGAGCTGAGTTTATAAAAATTCAGACCAATGGAGCAACTGATTCAGTGTACTTGCTAAAGTCAACTTGGTAAATAATCTTGCAATAAAAGAACAAGTAGCAGTGCAGGGACAATTTCCAGGATAAATGGATGGTCTGTCATGCTATTTTGAAAAATATCTTGCCATCTTAGACACAAAGTGGGAGTGATTGTACAAAATGAGGATCAGCAAAAGGGGAGAGGTTTGGGGACAAGGGTGGTGGTGGCAGTGGGGGGTGGGGGCATGGGGTACAATTTCTTGGTCTGAACTGCAAATGTTTTATTGCTTCCTCTTTTTTTTTCAAGGACAGCCTGTGCTGGTTAAATCTCCCCAACCAACCTTCATGACTGATTCCTGTGTTGGACATGGTCCTGAACACATACTGTGTCTGTTCAGGCTGTCTTGGCACAAATGCAATAAACAGCTGCTGGAACCACTAGTCCTCTTCAAACTCTGCTCCAAACAATAGCCCTCATCTGCCATTCAGGATCACTAGATACATCTTTTATTAAAGAAAAAGGAAATGTGGAGCTTGTCGTGCACAAATAGCAGCCAGTAGTGTGATGGTTCTTATTGGAGACTCATGCACAGTCAGTGAAAACCAATATAATTCAGCCAGAAAAGATATTTGTGATGTGCTTTATTTCCCTGTGTACCCACTGTGTCGTAGTTCATCTATGATAATGTCATCAAGGCTGCAAGACTTCCAGTGCACTAAAAAGTTTTCCCCATGTTTTCTTCATCGGGATTTGCAAAGGCAGATGTGTGGCCATTGTTTCACTTTCTTCCTAAATGTGGATCTGCTATATAATTGCAATGATCTCTATGTATTCCTTATTCCATTTCTTATATCAATATCTGTAGGTAAATATTTATCCAGTACCGGGGCATGACAAGCCTGGAGCCTATCCTAGGAAGCACAGGAAAGGCAGAGAAACCCTAAATAGAGATTTCAGTCCACTAAAGAAGACACAATCACATAATACGGGCAATTTAAAGACTTGCCATAAGGACATGTTTTTATGCAGGAGGAAAACAGAATGCACAGGAAGGTGACACAAACACAGGGGGAATGTGCAAACCGTACCCACACAGAGGTAGGGGTGACATCTATGGATAGATTTTTAAATATTGTTAATGCAGAATTTTATGACAATTTTAGAGGAGCTATGGAGTGTAAATAAAGGGTGGTTATTGAAATAGTTAAATCACAATTACAAACACAGCTACAAAGAGAAGACATGTTAGGGTAAATGCCAATCAAGAGCATATGACAAACATTGTTTCAACATAGAGGAACAGCGGTCACAAGTCAAAGCACACAGACAGGGAGAGATGGAGAAGGATAGCTGCTAAAGACCACAAAAGTACAGCCTCAAAATTATCACAGAATATCACTGAAGGAGCACATTTATGACCCTATCTCAACAAAAAAAACTACATTGCAAGCTTCACAATTAGGCCTGATATGTACAGTCCAGAAGCTACAAATCCAGACCAAGATTTCGTTTCTATCAACCAGTTGAGTACTCTGTGACTATGACTCTTTAAGCTTAGCTGGTTGTTAGAAACAAAATCTTGGTCTGGATTTGTAGCTTCTGGACGTAAATGCCCAGCAAAGTATATGTATGTATTTATGATTAAAGTACCTGATATGTAGAGCACAAAATCTGGATGCCTGAGCTAAGGAAAAAAGTAATGTGGACTATTGAGGAATCTTTCACCTCTTTTTCTTACAGCCAGATGGGTTTATGTTTAGAGAATGTCAAAGGATGGCTTCAACCCACATTATCTCTTGGTATGGGCAGCCATTTTGTAGAAATCATTAGGTCCATCAGTTATTTATGGCCAAGAAATATAAAGCCATTTTACAGAGCTAGGTGCATGTTATACAGCAAACACTGGTTCTTCATGATGTTTCTTGTTCTAAGAAGATAATGGCCTATGTACATTGTTAGACTAAATGCAAGAATCGCTTATGACCCTAAATAGCCATAAATAAGGATTCCACATGAATAATTTGGTAACATTTACTGTTCGTCATGTGGTGATGCAGAGCAGTTCAATAAACAATTCTATATGCATACTTACATTATGGGCTATGACCCTTATTACCTGGGAAACAATTACATGCCAGGAATGAATAGAGAGATTAACTCATTAAGAGTGAAGAGCTTGGAACTTTGTAACCTGAATATAAAGCAGGCAAGATTCATTATTTTATCCGGACAAGATAGCAAATCAAAATTCATAATAATATAACAAGGAACCAAAGAATCATGAATCTTGCCCTTTCCCCTGATTTCCTAAACTGCTTTTTAAAGAAGGGCCATAGAATCCAACAAACAAAGAAGCTCTAAATCCATATTATGAATCTTAATTACGTGCCGCTTTTAGCGCAGCGAAGAAGAGGCAGGTAACATTAATCTACATTAAGACAGCAGATGCCCTGCTGTGCAGTTTATGCTGAATCACAACTCCCCTTTCTCACTTGTCCATGCAGAGCAACCAAGGTAATATCTAGTGATTTAACTGTGTATTGAACCTACATATTACTGTTCTTGTTCTTGCACTGTGGTCTGAAACAGTAAGCACCTGGCTTCATGCTTCATCATTCAGATTAGATCATTTACCTAACACAGGATACCAAGCTTCTTTCCTTCTTGTAACAGGACTAGTTCAGTATACCACTGTCAATTTTGCCGAGTTCATGTTAGGTTTGCCTGAAGCAAATAAAGCTATTTAGAACCATTCTAGCAGGAAAAACAATGTACATATTGGGGGGGAGGGGGAGGGCTGGGGGGTGCCTGAGCACCTGCCCCTTTTGAGGTCCTCAATGCCCCTTTTCGATCACTGATTTTCATTCAAATTTTGCCAAGGAGGAATGGTTGAGCCCCCTGAAATGTCTCTGCACAGCCCTATACATATACAAGAGACAAACCCAAGTTAAATTTGAGTATGAAATGAAAATGCCCTGTACTATCTTTTTTTGGTAAATGCCATTCTTATTCACAAACAGGTACACAAGGTTTTCATTTGAATGGGAAATGGAAATGGATTTTTCACTAATCGTCCTGCACCAGAAATTTCAGGTTCAACCTTTGATTAACTGTGCTGCTAAATTGTCTTTCTCCACAATGCGACTAGCACCTGACAAGCATGGTTAACAAGTGACCTGCTTAAACAAACTGCATGCGGTAATGCAGCAGCCACATAATGCGAAGCCCATAAGCTACAATCCAAGGAAACCTGCTCAACACAAGGCTTAGCTTCTTGGAAATTTCACAAACCTCGTGTACCTAGTCTAATTACACTTAAATTAAATTTAACTTGGGTTATATATATATGTATATATATAGGGCTGTGCAGAGACATTTCAGGGGGCTCAACCATTCCTCCTTGGCAAAATTTGAATGAAAATCAGTGATCGAAAAGGGGAATTGAGGACCTCAAAAGGCGCAGGTGCTCAGACACCCCTCAGCCCCCCCTCCCCCCCAATATGTACATTGTTTTTCCTGCTAGAATGGTTCTAAATAGCTTTATTTGCTTCAGGCAAACCTAAAATGAACTCAGTCAAATTGACAGTGGTATACTTAAACTTAAACACTTTTTTAACTGTCTGTCTGACCCATGCTGTCTTAGTTATTAAATAGAGTCCACAATGAGTCTGTTTGATAGATATAGGATCCATAGCATCATTTTAATTTCTACCATCATATGTGGTTCTGGCAACCAGTAGACAGACATGCTGGATCCCTTAGCTACATTATAACTAATTCTTATGCACTCTCACTATATAGAACACCACTCGGGTACCTATCCTCACTGTTTCCACCTCATAGTAGTTGTCTTAGCACTTTGTAACACCAGCCATTAACAGATACCACAGCATCACCAGGAACTTTTAAACTCATTTGAAATGGTGCATGGTGGTTACTGTGCTTGGCATTTGTTCGAGTGCTATAGCATCACAGCACCTGTGACCTCATAGCGTTTCCCTCTCATGCAAAAATCTTCTGACACGTGGCTTTCAGATTAATTTCCACCCCCAGCTTCTTCCTGCTGTTCCTGTCCTTTCACTTGGTGGGGGATTCCTGGAGACATCATCTATGTGGAAAACAATGTGGTCCTTGGCCCTCACCACTAACAAGCAAGTCAACAGTTTTTAGCCAAGCACCAAACAACCACAATAAGGATAATTATGGAATTTTCTGTCATATAACTACTACTGGCTATAGTGACTCTACATTGCTGAAAAATACTCTTGGAAATGGCAATCTCCACAGCCCTCAATACCATACAACAGCAAAAGTCAATGTCAGCATTTTGCTGTTCAAAGTGACAACACCCTCATTACTGTACCTAGATCATCACTTTTGCACAGGCAAGATACACTTACTTGAATGAGTACCTGGCACAAATCAATTGCAAACATATGATTCTGCTCCATCAATGCTCCCTATACAAACAAATGTATTGGTAGTGTTTTAACCATTTACATTTTATTTCAAATTTATGAATTTAAAATTAAATGGTAAAGCAAAATTGTAATGCTTATTGTTTTATTGTAAAACAAAAAATGCATAGATTTTAATAAAAAGCAGCTATTTCCTGTAAAACATGGCCCATATTAAGTTCTTCAATCAATTTTTCTATATTAAAATGGCAGGTCACTAATTCAAGAAAAGTCATATCATCGCGACCTAGGAAGACACCGCTGTTGAATGAATGGACCTAAAAGAACCAAGCTACACTTTGCAAAATTTTCATTAAAGAGGCCTAAATCAGGTACATAAAGAGTGAAGGTCAACAAATGGTGACCATATTTGTCATTTTATCCATCATGGGAAAAGAAATGAAAGCAATCAAATATTTGTACAAACATGATTTATTACATTCCACATGGTGCAACAAGAGAATATACTGAAAACAGATTTACTTGCTATAAAATACAGCTGCTGCAATTCATCTCATCTCAATAATGCACAGATGATGAAAATTCTTTAAAGGGGGGTGAAGAACTTAAGCATGGATACAAATGTTTAGGAACTTAAAACTCAGAAATAGAGATGTATCTTCATGACTGGGCTGGGTACTTTGAATTATATTTTCTTTTTCCACTCCTCCTCTCCACCTCATCACTCAGTCGTGATTCAAGTTATTTCTCAGCTTTAACATAAATGGCCATTTCTACATAGAAACTACTTCCATGTCAACCACTATATACCTATATAAAGTAGGCTTGGATAGTATGCCATGGTATTTCCATCCATGCTCAGCAAATTCTATCAGCAAGATATAATATTAGAATACATCTGTTTTTGAAAAATCCATGAAAACACCACAGTACCGCAGTATACCATCTTGACGGTATGAAAAATTAAATACTGCTCAAGCAAAATGCAAAGCAAAATGAATTTCTAATAATTTTTTTTCCAGTGGACTGTCATTGAACAGTAAATGGAGATTCCAAATGAAACATCCTACAGCTCATGTATTGAAGAAAACTTTCAGGTGCTTTTATTGTTCTACATTTAAAAAAAGTCACTTAAGTAAACAAAATGGGAATACATGGGAAACCAAAAGAAAATAGTGTTTCTTTATGTTCTAATGTCCTTTATCCCTGTTGAGAATTAAAATATTTATTACAGTAGTAAGCAATCTACGGCAATAATTAAATAAGGAACAAATACAGCCAATCTACAAAAATCTATTCCTACGTACTGTACTGCAATTTTAAAAAGTATATGCTATTTTATTTATAACACAATTTGATGCAATGCAACCAAGTATTAAATCTACATTTTTTTTGTCCGGGAAATTTTGTCCAGAAATACACTGCATTGTAGTCTACTGGGGGCATCATACCCCTCAGCCTCCCTGCGAAAGTCTATGCTGAGGTACTGAATAAGAGGGTCCACCACTTTGGCAAAGCCAGATACAGGAGGAACAATGCAGATTCCATCCTGGTTGCAGAACGGACCAACTCTTCACCTTCACACTGATACTGGATACATGGGAGTTTGCACAACCAGTCTACATGTATTTTGTGGACCTGGAAAGAGCATAGGTTCATGTCCCTCGGGGGATCCTGTGAGGGGTGTTTCAGGAGTATGGAGTCTGTTGCTGTGGGCCATCATGCCCCTGTATAAAGTCTGGTTTGCATCACCAGCAGTAAGTCGGACATATTCCCAGTAGATGTTGGACTCCACCAGGGCAGACAAGAATGACCAGAACCCAGCCAGGTAAAGGGTGGAAGTGACATTCTAATGTCAGAGATGACAAACTTATCTGACAAATTCTCATGAATCTGAGGATGACATCAAGTGACCTTTAAAAGCAATGGGAAACATCAAGTGCAGGTGTGAAGTGCACTGCTACACAGTTCACATCAGGCTCCTAGAAGCAGAACTGAAGTCCCATAAAGCAAGGAAGAAGACCTTCATTAATGAGAAACAGAGAACAACCAGGCTGCAGTTTGCAAAATTAATCATTCACAGACAAACACATAAACAGAGAAATGAGTGAAACAAAAAAAATTGTGCCACGGTCTCAATTTTTTCTACAGCTGTATGCTCTTATCCTCACCTATGGTGACGAGCTTTGAGTAGTAACCAAAAGAATGAGATCATGGATACAAGCAGCAGAAATGAGTTTCCTTCACAGGGTGTCTGGGCTCAGCTTTAGAAATAGAGTGAGGAGTTCTGACGTTCAGTAGGAGCCCAGAGTAAAGCTGTTGTTCCTTCACATTGAATGGCACCGCTTGAGGTGGTTCAGGCATCTATGTAGGATGCCTCCTGGGCACCTCCTTGGGGAGGAGTTTCGGGCACGTCTATTCATCAACTCTGTTAATCTTGATGCTTCTTCTCTTGAACAACATTGCACTCATACTGGAAATAAGAAAATGTCAGAATGAGAAAAATGAAAACATAAGCTACTGAAAAAACAGCTCTCTAAAACATGCCTTTACCCACTAAAGTGGATAATCGTATACAAAGCGAAGAAATGTTTTTGGAAATGTTTTTGAATACAAAATCTTACCATAGCTAGCTGCCGTCCTATATTTCCCATGGTTATTACACCAGCAAAAAAAATACATGGTAACCAGGAACGTATATAGAGAAAATCAGGAGAAGTATACCTAGGGGAGGGACAATATATTTTTTAGTAAAGTGAAACAGCATACCAAAAGCAAAGTGTGAATCTAGACAGCAAAGGAGAGATTACATTAAACTGAATAACTTACTGGAAAACCTCATTGTAGACAAGCAGCTGAGTGGTAAGAGTAGCCAAGAAGGCAATGCTGACACCCAGACCAAATCCACTGCGGGACCGGTCAAAGGTCCACCACAGTCCAATGGACAAGGCAGCCAAAGTCAAAGACAGCTGCACATTGTTTTCAAAGTCCACCTTCTGAGAATCCATTTTAAGAAACACTGATCAGCAAGTGTGTAGAATGGAATTAGGGAGTATATTATCTCTAGCTTAATTTTTAGCCAGAACTTAAAATCTTCTTTCATTGCTTGGATTTTAAAAGGCAATTTAAAAAACCTTGGAGGTTGCAGAAGTAGTAAAAGCAGATCTGTTAAACATTTTCAAAACTGATATCAACTTAAAGAACAATATACTACCCTTATATCTCTATATACACTCAGTGGCCAGTATATTAGGTATACCTGCTTGCTAATGCAAAATGAAACTGCAACTGAATACATACAACACACAGAGAGTATAAAGAGATTTGCTTACTCTTCAGGTAAGAATTACAATGGCTACGATGCCCGATCTAAGCAATTCTGAATGTGGTGTGATTGCTGGTACCATGCCTAATGTTTCCAGTATCTCAGAAACAGCCATCCTACTGGGATTTTCATAAACTACAGGGGCTCCTCAACTTACAGTGGGTTTACTTCCCGATTAGAACTGGAAAATATCAGTTGAATATGAAAATGATAACTATTGTCACTTAAGTAAAAAAAAATACTGTACTGTAAAGCACTGTAACTAAATACCAGTATTTGAAAAGTAAATGAATAACCAAATAAATATATTCAAACACAGAAAAATGGTGGTTAATATATCATTCCTAATATCATATGTATGATATGTATACACTCATAATCACTAGAGAGATTGCAAGTATGGCTGCAGCCATCCCCAAGCATCAGTAGAAAGTATTATATGACATATTGCTAGTCTGGCAGCAGATGAAAATTTAAAATCGACTACTGAATGTGCATCATTATTGCGTCATCATGAAGTCAAAATATAAGTCAAATCATTGTAAAGCAAGGAGGATCTGTACAGTGTCTAGAGTTTATAAACAATTGGTATTACTGAGGCTGAAAACACTATGAGAGTTGCAAAAAAAATTCCAGACTGCTTAAAGCCAACAGGATGGTATTAAGTCCAAAATAACTCAGTACAATAGTCAAGTGCAGAAAGGCTTCTCCAATTCATCTACCCTTGTACAAAATGTCTACCCTTGATATGATTCTGGGAGCAAAACTGTATTACACAGCGCTAGCTAGTTATACCTAATAAAGTAGCCAATGAAAGCATGTGCATAAATTTGTTAATGGCTGTTAACCATTTATAGAAACAGAGTGGAAAAGGATACTGCACTGGCATGATTGATTCCCACGAAGACAGCAATGCAGCGCATCACGCTGGACCATTCACGCTTGAACTTGTGCGGCTTACCCAGGCAATGATCAATGCAGGGGTAAAGTAGACCAATCATCACTATTATCACATAAAAGGGAAAAACAGACAAGTTCTTCAAGCAGTACAATATTTTCATTTGGATCATGAATCCTCGTGTGGGACCCCCATGTGATCAGCTGTTTCTGGTTGTTGTCATTAGTCCTCTGTATTAAGTCCGCGGTTCAGTTTGTTTCCCCAGTCTGGTCATTAGGTGCGTTTGACTTGCTTACAGCAATGCATTCTGATCCTGACGCAATGCATTACGGTTAGATGCATTGCGACCTCTCACCCGGCTGCACAAACTGGAACCGCCTCCGTGACGACACACCTTTCCCCTTATTGGCTGAAGAGGTTAGTTACACGCATGACGTTTGTATCCCAGGCAGTTCCGATGCGTAATCTGCTATTTCTCCCGAATATCACGTAAAGCAGTGAGAACTAGTTTTCAGTTAGTTTACCTGGTAAAATAAAGCTTAAATAAATGACATAAATGCTCTAATAGTACACGTAAGTTAGTGGTTTATTTATTGTTAGTTACTGTAATGTTGCGCTGCTTTATTTGGTTAATCGTCCAGTCTGTGACGAAGGCATTCAAGTAAGAATTGCATTGTAGTATGACTCATTTCCTGGCGCATACAATTTATATTAGGTCAGCGTTCACGGTTCGACGTCTGATATTCAGATCGAGTTCTAGGTCAAACTGGTTTGTTTCACTTTCAAGAAATTCGAGTTCTAGTGAGTTAGAGAAGAGGTACCACTGTACATATATATATAGACAGTAAAAATACATTTAGACAATGATAGACAGTAACAGTAATTATTATATAATAAAATACATTTTAAAATACAGATTTCATATTATTTTAATAATAAACCATTAATACATTTAATTATAATAATATTGTCCTGCCGACGGAGACAAAGGCGCAGACATCAGGGTATCGGGGAATACGGGGTTTAATTACAGGTAAGGCAAGCAAAACACAGACGGACAATACAATGACCGAACTGGGGAAACAAACCGAAACGCGGACTAAATACAGAGGACTAATGACAACAGCCAGAAACAGCTGATCACATGGGGATTCCACATGGGGTTAACGAGGGGGCGTGGCACGCGGAAGGAGCAGACGATCGGGGCAGGGCACATTGTTTGGATACATTTATTTTCTTACTTTACAAATTACTATTTTGATAAATGTGCTTAGTACAGTATATGCTTTTCTGGTTTTATCCGGTTCATTTTGTGTTTAAATGCTAAAAAAAAACGTATTTAGGTGTAATTTTTTGGGGCCGGGAACCAATTAATTGGTTTTCCATTATTTCTTATGGGGAAAATTAGATCACAACTCGAACTTTTTAGGATTCGATCCGCGGTTATGAACGGATTAAATTTGAGTTCTGACGTACCACTGTATAACATAAAAATTCTATAACCACAGAGACACTCAAATACATACCAATTCCAGTAACGCTTAAATATATCATAAGCAAAGGAATGAGAGTACATACAACCAAATTCATATTTCCTTTTGCAAACAGTCTTGTCCAAAGAACATTAAGAACCAGATGCACACAAAGTGACAAGTATACTATCAGCACATCAGCTCGATGATCAATCGTTCAGCTATCAGCTACTGAAACATTCCTGTTCTGCTTTACAATATATGAGAGGCTTTGATGGGTTTGGGCAGGAATGCCTATTACAGTGGGCACAGGACACAGGGCAGGGATACACCATGGACAGGATGTCAGGTTATTACAGAGCACATGCATGCAAACACATGCACACAATCATAAGATATATTTATAGGTGTTAGGCAGGATATGTAATATGTTATTCATTTTCTGTTTTTTGATAACTATAAACATTCATTATCCTAATATACATATATTTTATATTAGGATAATAAATGTTTATAGATATCAAAAAACAGAAAATTAATAATCCCAGCCAGGTAGGACAGGGGGTTCATCCTGGATGGGGTGGCAGTTCATCATAGGGCACAAATGCACATATTCACATAAAATGGGAAATTTAGATATTGAAAGACGAAGGCTAACCAGCATATCTCCTGCCTCCCCGGTAGGTAATAGCACATGGACATGAAATGCCACCGATCCATCCACCAATTCTCAATAACCACTTATAATGCTCAGTGTACGCTCTGAAGAATGAAGCAGGAAGGGACGCTAGGCCTTGACAAAGTACATATTCACATCCAGTATAAATACACTGTTTAACCTAAATAACATGTCATTGGACTGAAGAAGGAAATCTAAGTACTCAGAGGAAACCCACACAAACAAAGAACATGCAACCGCAACCACTCCCCCCCCCCCCCGCAAAACACACACACCCAGACCCCACAGGGGAATTGATCTTGAATCAACACTTTAAAAAATATTACTCAAATTCACTTTCAAGCTAAAATACTTAAATATAACAAACCACAAAAATAATACCCAAAAATGTTTAAATATTGGAAATAACAATAGCATTAGAAAGATGTTGACAAAGGTAGACCTACCAGAGACTGTACCACAGCAGGGAGGCACCCACCAGGCGGAGGAAAAAACACTGGCAATTACATCAGGGGGGAAGAGGGTAATGTTCCTTTGGACCTGAAGTAGGTTGAGCACCAGAGAAAGGAAGACCCCAACGGAAAACAGCATAACACCACGGATGACCAGGTTTGCAGTTTTGTTGGTAATAACCGCAATATATGGCCCACAGACAGCTGGCCCCGACTCCAACTGGTGGGCTTTCACGTCCGAGGTATCCGCCATAGTTGCCAGACCTCTTCCTCAAGTCATGCATAAATATAGGATTTATATGAGGGTCTTGATGGTGACAACTTCAGGCCTTCATTTGTTCCCATTGGGTTCGGACACTGCAGTGGGTCTGAAACAAAGTTTTTAGATATATTATGGGTACATGTAAACTCAACATTCCCCGTTTAATTGGCAGTGTGCACTAAATCCCATTTTCCACCATAATCGTCTTCACAAAACCATCATTTACCAAACATGAATCCAACAAAAGTAGCGAATACCAAAAACAAATTATAATTAAACAGCTTAAACTGGTGGTTGGATATGACAATTGTTGCATTGAATTAAATTGTTAAACAGTAAATGTTAAAAGGAGTACATTTAATAAACAAATTCTTGGTAAGGTATTTAGCTCTAACCTATTACATGAAGACATACAACTTCATTATTTTAAACCAAGAGAACCACAAAAGATAAGAGCAATGATGACAGAATGTGAATTTTGCCATATTATCTTTTTTAATAAGCGTTAGCTTTCACTCAAGGTACTTGTACATTTTGGCCAGCAATTTGAATAATAAAGTTACAGTCACAATGGTTTCCCTCTGATACGATTAGCTTGTCTCCATTATGTCACAAGTCCACTGATTCACTTATTTCTTTCGAATCCAGTGAAAAAATTTTGCCTACAACACCAGCAGATTCTACAAATTTACGGTTAAATAACAATGGTGAAGAAATGGAGAATGACCAAAGCAAATACATATACCAGACACAATATATAGCTAGCTGTGGTTCCCCGATCCAAACGCTCTTAACAAAAAAGTTAAGTGTTTTTAAAATTTAAATAACGAATCTTAATTTAAACGTTGGAATAATCATTTGTGTATAATTGTAAATAATTTCTAATACTGTAGTGAACAAGAACATCGAGCAAACTGCCATGCAACCTTGTTTTCTGTCAAACGAGCCTAAAGGCAAGTCTGTAAACTGGCCTTTTCGTAACAATTTCTTGTTTCAAACGGCATATTTGTATGTTAATCCCATGTTCACACACATTGCAGCATATAAAACATAACTAGCTAAATAAAGACTTTATCATCGTTCGCTGTTCACGTCTGTTCCGGGTGCGACAAGAAAACCTTGATATTTAACCAAAATGTTAAATGTCTTTACATTCGTCAGGAGCTAAACCTATCAGTAAAGCGAGATAAATTTTGTGGCAAACAGCGTATAATTCACATCTTAAAATCGGAATATGTAAGGTAGAGTTACCTATAGCTTACTTTGAACGGTCATATCACTTCTCTTTCACGCATCAAACACACAAGCCTGAACTTCCAATGAGATTCTAGCCATGTGACGTCGCTTCCTTCTTGGATGTTTCCGCAAGCGCAGTGAACTCTTAGGTCAAGAACAGTGTTTACAAAGAGGTGGAAATAATTATCAATTAATCGATTCCATGTGGACCCTTTGGGTATTTTTCTGTTGGGTTTGGTCCCTATATTTAATAAAATTGTTACAAAATCATGTAATAAAATACAGTTGAAGTATTTTAATTTTATTTGTTAAATTGTGTAATTTATGATGGTTATATATTTATAGATTATTAAATGTAGTTCAGAGGATCGTGACAATAGAATGGTGGAGAGGTTTGCATGCCTTAATCCACAGAGCAATGTCATCTGTGCGGCAACCCATTAGGTGACACAAATGGCCGCTTAGGGCACCATTTTCAGAGCAAATCCCCAGCACCATCACCCGAACAGGCAAGCTTCACCACTGGTGCCCTCCTCCACAATGTGAGCAGACAAAGTGGAATTAGGCAGTGAAGCTTACCAAGCACTGCCTCAAGCTTGAGCTTCTGGTATGGCCTCCCTGGACTAGCACAAACACAACATGCCTGCATACCGGCTTCCCATCTGGACTAATTTATCTGAGCTTCTCTGTCTGGTTGAGAATGGTACATCACACACCTCAAAACCTGGCCATAAGTTGTTAAACATGTCCCCTTTCCTACTGTGCAATCTTCAGCAATGGCATTTCCTAGTCCAAATATTTCTGCAGATTGCCTTGTTTTCTTCTGCACTGCCTTCAGTGATGTCATAACTGTAAAAAACCTGAAAATGTTGCAGAATTACTTTGTGTGTGCATAAATATATTTTAAATTGCGATAGTACAAAACAGGACATAAAGGCAATAGGCTTAACATCTCATAGTATCAATTTAAAAATGACAGAAGATTGAATAATATTATGAAACTGATTATTCACTATTATTAAATTACTTACTCGACAGAACTGAACCACATGGGCTTTGTTCTAGCTTTTACAAAACTAAATTAAAGCTGAGCTTCTCATAATAACTTGCAGACGGGTCAAAATTAGTGCCTACGACAAAATAAAGTACACTGCCTAAAATATTTTTAGGTAGAATTTTTATTACCACAATAAGAAAAGTCATTTGCATTGCATGACCATCCCGCTATTGTATTGCATTACTGAAAACTTCAGATGACAGGAGGACCCCTTCAACTTAATGCTATATGGCCAAAATTTTAAATGCTTGCAAGACATGTGAAAAGGAAAAAAAAAAAAACCAGAATAGGGACAGCCTCATCTTTCATCCTTAGGGCTTTTCATGCACCCTAACCTTTACATGGTGCTTACCAGCCATTCGTGCTCATTTAACTAATTTAACATATGAGAAACATGAGCGAGACATGACAGGGAGCTTGTCTGCCTCTCTCTGCCACTCCCAGAGTGACAGAGAGGCCATGCTCAGATGAGATGCAGGAGCCTGACTCAGGCTGATCAGCATGGTTTCCTATTAAGAAATGAGCAGAAGCTTTGGCCCCTGTGCCCTACCCTGCACATCTGTTCCAATATTCCACAGTGCACCATTACATACTGCTAAACAAAGAGTGGTTTCATGAATGGCAGGATGAAGTTAAACACCTTCCCTGGTCTCCCTGATTCAGATATCAATAAACTTCTAGATTCAAACATCAGTGAACTTAATATGCAACTTAGGATTGTACCTTCTTTATCCCTCAAACAACTGGAGGATTTTCTTCTTGAAAATGTTTGGCATTCCTGTCAAAATTACTGTTTCTATGAACAACTAAGCAAGTAAAAGATGTGCCTGTATTAATAAAGTGTCTCAGAGTAGGAAAAGGGTCCTAAGTGGCCCAAAATTCTCAGAGCTTTATTAAGATTCTTATCCTAGGAAAGTACTGCTCTGGAGCTGTCCTAACCCACTAGGAACTGCCAGATGATAGTGTTCAGGTGAAGATCAGCATGCACATTCCAGGAAAGGAGGAACTTGATGAATACAATAGACAACACAGAGCTCATAAAAGCAAATGACAAATGATATTTGTCAATTATTACTGAAAAGTATGAAGAAGTGTACTACAGTAATTAGCAAAGTAATATTTTGCCACGCCACTTTGTGTATGTTTACTTGTTTAAGTGGGGGGTTAGACCTTTGAATGAGCATTGCATCATGGTCAAGAAAAATGAATTTTTCAAGAAGAAATTGTTTAGAACACTGATTCGATCAGGATGTCAGAATTTTGTCTTCCTCAGTGGATGTACTGGCATCATGTAACTACTTCGTATTAAACATGAAGCTGTGCTGCTTTGATGTCATCCATCAATTCAAGGAACAAATAACACTTTCATGTATAAACTAAAGAAAGATTACTGGCTAAGAATCAATGGTATATAAAATACTTTATATTTATACAATTGCTTTGTATAAATCAAGCTGCTGAACAGCTTCATAATCATATGTAGACTACATATGTGGTCAAAATCTGCATCAGTGGATGCATGTACCAAAAAGCTATGATGTAATATGTGATGGTATTTAGGCAAAAGGAACGGGTACACCTTTAATGGGATTCCAGTCCATCACAGGGCACATACATACACAATGATACACTATGGCAAATCTTGAGATTCTAGTTAGGATTACTGAATGTCTAGGGACTACGGGTGGAAACAAGTACTCGGAGACAACCCACATGAAGCAGGGAAAACATGCAAACTCCACATACTGAGGTGGGATTTGAACTTCCATCTCTGGAAGTGTGAAGCAACAGTGCTACCAAATGAGCCTCCTTGAAAATTAATAACTGAAAACTTATTCATTCAAACAGAAAGCTAATCCTAAATCAATGCCTGTAACAAGCAAATTTGCATAAGCTGCTGATTAGTAAATAATTATTGCAAATCAGATTATGTTGTAATATATGCCATCAAGAATTTTAGTAAAGAATTTTTTAGTTTTAGAACTATAGCTATTGCATGCCATACAATAACGATCAGTCATATGAAAATATATCGATTTCTTCTGAAGAGGTTTCCTCTAATGTTAAACCTGCTGAATATACTAACCAGGAGATTTCCATACTTAACTTATCTCCTTAATATAACCACCCACTGGAACAAATTTGTTGAGTGAACACTTATAACACAACTAAATGGAACAGTAATGGTGGTTCATTTTAGACAAAGACAATTACCTTTGATCAAATCTAAGAAGAAAAGGACAAGCATATCAACCACGTGAATACAATGCTGATGATTTAAAAATGCTCATTATTTATTCATTCCAAACACAAGGATAACAGTATGTTTCATTAACCACAAAACAGCACAAACTAAGAAGTATAACTAATATGGATGCAAATTAATCATGCACAGGTTGAACATACTCCTCATAAATGCAATGAGAATCACATCAACTGGCTGTGCTAAGAACCATTTCCCCTCTATTAACATGGTCTAAAAATTCATTTAAAGTGGTTAGCAATGACACCATTCAAGCCAATCTGATTTTTCTATAATTCTGTGGTAATTTTAGTTCTTAGAAAACTTGAGTAAGAAGGAGATATAGGGAGATAGACAAACTAAGAGAGCATGAGAAAAATGAAAGGATGAGAAAGAGTTTTGTGTCAGGGAGGATCTAGGCAATAAGTGAATATGGCCAGACACCTGATTCGTCATTCCGCATGACCTAATATTTGAAGGCTGTTTTGTTGTTAGCACTATTTGTACCAGTGTCACACCCCTGCTATAATGTGTATTGAAGACTTTCATTCTGGCCCATTAGGCTACTCACCTCCCTTACTTATTCTGTGCAGGGTCTCTATATTTCCCATTAACCTTTCACCCCCAATTCCCTAGTGGAGACTGGGTGCTTATGATCTATAAAGGCATTAAACATTGTTACAAACATTTGTGGTTTGTTACACATAGCAAATGATTCTTTTATGAAATAAAAGCAAAAAATCCCTATTGTACAGGATTGGTCAATATAGTATGTATGATATACTTTATTGGTAATTTGTTTTTAAATATCCAGTCTCGCACTCTATAAAAGAGCAAGTTTTAGGGTCAGAGTGCAGGGTCAGCCACCATGCAGTGGAACAGTTAAGGGGTCAAAGGCCCAATGGTGATACGATTACTCTCCCAGCCACAGGATTCAAACCCATAACCTTCTGGACAGAGGCATAGATCCCTAATCCATTGAGCAACATGCCACCCCTTATATCAGGGGTGGGCAATATTATCTGCAATAGGCCAGGGTGTATACAGGATTTTGGGATAATTTGTGAGGACTCTTCAGCCAATCAGTCCTCTAATAAGTAATCTAATTAGGGAGTTACAGCGAAAATCCGCACACCCAACGGCCGATTCTGGATAAGATTGCCTGTCTTATATAGATAGATTATCTATTTTTCTCTATAGAAATTGCTTACTCCCTTAAATTCATGAATACTTTTCCCAACTACTTAACCACTACTGGTTTGTGGAGAGCTTAGAACTTATCCCAGGAAGCACAAGGTAAAAGGTAAGAGACAAACCTGGATAGTATGTTAGTCCATCACAAGGCACACATGACACACCATGGTCAATTTAGAGATGCCAGTTCTCCTAATGTTTTATTTTTTGGACTTACTCCCTTGAGTAAAGTGAGCAATGTATAAGTAAGATAAAAATTTACAAATGCATAATGAATAAGTAATGAAAGCTATAAATATCAAATTTATCAAAGAAATTGTGGTTTGCAGTTTGCAGTACAATCCACAAATAAGAGGTTGGAAGATGCATGCATGGTTCTCTCCTTATTATAGAAAATGATATTCCTGTTGCTTTCTGTTGTACATGCACCACCTAGTGACCAAGCATTAATGTAGGTTATAAAAATAATAACAGGTAACAACCAGAATGAATCCAGATTCTTGAATGTACTAGCTCAGACTTTACAAATACCACTTGCAACCATATATGGATTATGAAAATAAAAAATAAATATAACAATAGTACAAATACTATTGTACTAGCTCCAAAAAAAAGTGACATATAGAAAGCATAAATTAGCTGAGTATCACCATCAATGATTGTATTTAGTCAAAAAATATTAAATTACTAATTACTTAATTTGATTTCAAGCAGTATCGTAAGTAGAAAAAATAATGACAAAGTGGAAATCCTTTGTGTCGTAAGTCTATGAAGTTATGAAAAGAGACCTGCATTATGCCACATCTGACTGCCCAAACATGGTTTATATTATTTATATAAATAAAATGTAAATGTAATTCAGAATATAGAAAATATGAAGCAAGCAAAGCCTAGAAAAGCATGTCAAAAACGTCTTACTGACTAAGAAAACAATTCTTTAGCACTTTCACAATCATTTTCACGTTCAATGCAGAATAATTATTGAGAATATAGGGTGCTACAATATATGGAAATGGCAGCTCACAGTGGCTGTCAGTATGCTACACTTCGACTGCACAGACTGTCAGTGTTAATCAAGTCCCATCTCTTAACAGTGGCTGCTGGTATCAATGAGTGAAGATTAATATTCTGGGTGCAACCGATGATAAATCATTTGTACATAATTAGTGTGCAAGCAAGGTTACAGCTGACATGAATTTTTATCTTAATTAAGGGGGAAATTTGTTCCATTAATTTAATTTGGTGTGCATGAATAGGCCAGCACCTAACAAAGTTAATCTTACACCTGTCATCATGGCCAGCGGTGAAGCCCTAGTAGTGAGGTTATAGAAATGGCTTCTTTGTAGCACACAATTGTTTTCTGAAACCTGCTGTTCAGCTAGGCAATTGTGAAAAGCGTATCAGGTATTATTCTGAGGCACAAACTCTTTATTACAATTTAATAGTTTGGAATCTTTTAATTTGGTATTTTGCAAACAGAAACATGATCTAATGAAATGCTAACTCTTCTGAATTGTATTAGTTAGGAAAAAAATTATTAGATAAAAAAACTCAACTGTCCTTAAAAAGGAAATTAAGTAACAAATTCTAAATTTCAAAAGGGGTGTTTCCTTCCCATCCAAATAAAAGCAAATTAATCAAGAGACTAATCAAATATTTTATCCACCCTAACATTATGGAATATTCACAAGATATAACATTTCTAGTTTATCCCTTGATTTGAAAAGGAGCACTAGAAACACAAGTATAAAATTTATGGCTGCATTACATATCGGTGAGGTAAATGAAACTGGTTTTAAGGAGGATTCAGAGGGTGTTCATTTTTCTCATTGGATGAGGTTCTTATAATGGTTCTTATAACAGTTTAATAATATCTGCAACAACTGAATAATATAAATAACATTATTTAATTCTGGAAAACAACAATATTTAAATTTAGCTGTTTGTTGTATTGTCGTTTGTCATTACAGAACAGAATACAGTATGTTATAAAAAAAACACTGTGTTAGTGTTCATTGTTTCTATGATATGACAATATTTGTTTCATATTAAGCATTATTTAGATGAGTTATTTTTTGCAGCAGTAGGATAGAGCACAGTAAGTTATTAAAACTGATTTAGGTGATTTAGTGAACTAGATTTTCTTATCACCATGGTTTGGCTATTAAACTCATTTTAGCAATTGATCAGTTAGAACACAATAAGGAGTCATGTGTTTCAGCATTAAGCTGTGATAATTGTGTCTGACCAAGTGGAAAGAAAAGTAGCTCAGTAGTGGAGCAAGAAAATGACTGATTTAAAAACAAAAAGCCCTAATGGAATTCACTACTGTCAGTCACTCACCAGGGAACTCTATTACCTGTAGTGATTCATAGTCTATTATACTATCTTCCATTTTAATAGAATGTCTATCTTCTTTAATACAGACCCCTCAACCATGTAACCATATATTTGTCAAGCACCTGAAATTATATGGAAACCTGTTTAAACCTCTGTACACTTGGTGGAAACACAATTTTACACATTCATATAAGCGGTACAAGTAAACCTTGTACCAAGATGCATATCTCTTTAAATATGAAATGACAACACTAAATGTCATCCCAAATAAGACTTACTATATCACATTCTTCACCAACATTTTAATCCTCCCTCTGTCTCCTGTTTCCTGTCATTCTGTCCATTCACTTCTGTCAAAGTAATGGAAGTCAGTAAGTAGCTCTAAGTCCTGTCACCTTTGAGTCGGGGCTGCCAATTTAGTAACATTTAAGCTTGTAATGTAGTGCATTTCAGACTTCAATAGAATGCTTAATGACTAATAACACCACACATCATATCTAATTATTTGATTTTTGGATGCACTTATAGACTTAGCCAGCTATTCTTACCTTAAGTGCTATGACATTTTGGGGGATTATTCTTTATTTTTATCCCATTTTAAAATGCCTGTAATGAAAAATGTTTCTTTAGACTATTATTTTATTTATTTATTTATTTATTAAAAGCACTCTTATTACACATTTCAATTGTGCCTTCTCCTCCTCACTTTGTGGCTGCCCTTCAATGGAGATAGAATTTCTAGCTTTACACAGATACATTTCTGGCACCAGGCTCATCTCTTTGCTACTGGCTAAAGGTCTTATCGTCAACACTTACCTTGTGAAACAACTTTCATTTTGAAAGAACTCCAACAAAGTGACACATAATAAATCTTATTGAAATCTTAGTTAATAAATTATGATGCTATGCATATTGTTCATATATAACTTTAAATTTGTAATTATACACCTGGTAGCGGATGTTATTTTGAATTTTTTTATATGCTGCTTTAACAACCGTAGATTACACAACTACATGACATTCAGCATACTTCGCAACGAGCGTGCAAATGGTTAGGGTGAATTGGAGGGTTGCCAAGTCCTGGCAAATACTTCCCAAAATTCTACATAACATAGCCTGAAACCTGGCCAAAATGTGTTGACATATTATATTCAACTATAATGTTAACTACGTCTATATATTGTAATTGTCCAAAGTTGTTGTCCTGCACCAAAGCAACTGAAATTCTTTTATGCTATTCATACGGAAAATTAAGTTTTCTGAGTCATGAGGCGGTACTAGATAGCTGTGAATGCGAAAGAGGGAGCCCCCTTCAGTATTTTCTGGACTGCCCATAAGAATTTTCTGCCGTAAATCCTTCTTTTTCCTAACATATTTCCTATGTATATGTGCATTCTAATTTAAAACAAAATCTTACTGTGAGTCCGGGGTCTATTTTTAAAATTGCGCGTTAAAAAGCTGCCATCCACCAGCCTCTGCCTAAACCAGCCCAATTTTACGTGACAACTGCGAACCTGGCAACCCTGATGACTTGTGCTGTTCATGTGATTTCGCTGTAGCTCAACATGGCGGCGGTGTCTGTGTTCCATAGAGTAAGAGCAGGATCGAAAATCGGAGTTCAATATGACCAAGATGGCAATCTTATCCAGGTGACAACATGATTATATGTTGGTGTCTACAAATGAACACCTTAAGTTACTAAGATTGTATTTTGTTTTGTATAAAATATTGTTCTTTTGACTCGCTTATACTATGTAGCGGGCAGAATCCTAGCTACCTGTATAGTTTTCGAAAAACAGTATCAATTCCTTTGTTTTCTACATGTTTGAATGTTTTTCCCTCTTATGTGCTAATATATTCAATTAAGAAGTCATTGATTACTACGTTCGTTAATTTTTAAGTTGCTAATTTGTTGTCAGTAGCGAGCTTATGTGTTTGACAAGCTATGTTACATTTCTAATAATGTATTAAATGCGCACAGTATTTTTTTCTTCCTACAAATAGACAGATAAGTAGATCCTGGTTCATTTTGCAGGTTGAGACGCGTGAAGATGAAGAACAGAGCAATAAGCTGTCTGAGATCCTGGAGCTCTTTTTGGCCGCCGGATACTTTCGAGCTCGGATTAAGGGATTGTCACCTTTCGACAAGGTTGTGAGACGCTAATAGCAAGTGAAAAATAGTCAATATCTTAAGTTTTGCATTCAGAACTTAACGTACATTTGAACCACAACGTAAGAAAAAAATAATATTGTTTGCAAATATTTACGTGTACTTAAAGTACTGCATCGCATTACTATTGTGTAGTAATAAACGACAATAACTTTTCATCAAGTGCAACACTTAGCAATATGCTTTTATCTAATTAGATATATTAATCCAAAACATTTTATAACAGGTCGTCGGAGGAATGACCTGGTGCATAACAACCTGTAATTTTGACATTGATGTCGATCTTCTTTTTCAAGAAAACTCAACCATTGGTCAGAAAATGTAAGTCCCTCAGTTGTTTTTCCTCGGAAAAATATAGTATTTTTAATAATAAAAAACATGTATTTTTATAAGCCGTATCAAAAACGTATATTCCAATTGTAAAAAAACTTGTTTAGAAATCTGAAGTCTGTTTTCAAACAAAAAAAAACCAGCTGTTAAACATATATAATGCTGTTATCTCATTCTGTTTCAGAGCCCTCACTGAGAAAATCGTGTCAGTCCTACCGAAAATGAAATGTCCCCATCGTTTGGAACCCCACCAGATTCAAGGGCTGGATTTTATCCACATCTTCCCTGTTGTGCAGGTAATGTGTCAAAAGTGCAAATCATGGCTACAAGTTTGCAGTATAAAACTAATTATCTCCTGTTACTTGACATTGTTTGAAGTTGATGTCTTTGAATGTTTCTTTTTCCAGTACATATTACAGGTTTTATTTATTTATTTTTATTTATTTACCTTTATTTTACCAGGAAGTCCCATTGAGATATAAAATCTCTTTTACAAGAGAGACCTGGCCAAGGTAGCAGCCATACAAAACGTAAACATATACATGACAATAAAACATTAAACCGTAAAACAGAACAACAATTGTTTTTTACAGCCATATAAGCTGAAGCTCTCATTTTGAGTTTTCCAGCAAACTATATATAGCCATCCAGCTGTAAAAGTTAAAAAGTTAGTTATTTTTTTTGCTATCTGGAGTGTATAGAGGACACTATATCTCAAAGGGAAAATAAAAATCTGAACTCTGGAAGGTACTGCCAGATTTCATGGTGGTGATGCAAAGGCCATTTGTTAAATTAAAATTTAATCTTTTTAAATGGTCTGCATTTATATAGCACTTTTTTCTACTCTTATGAGTACCGAAGCACTTTACAATTCGTGCCTCACATTCACCCATTCATGCTCACACTCACACACCGATGGCAGAGGCTGCCAAGCAAGGCGCCAACCTGCACACCGGGACCAATTTGGGGTTCAGTGTCTTGCTCAAGGACACTTTGATGGGGACAGGAGGAACCCGGGCTCAAACCTGCAACCCTCCAGTTGCCGAACGAGAGCACTACCTCCTGTGCCACCATCTTTATACAAATATTAATGATGATTGTAGTGTCGGATATTCGATATAACACAGGAGATCATGAGATGAACAATAGCTGAACATGTGGAAAGACCACTAACGTGTGCTGCTCTGTAAGCTTGCACAAAAAGTGAAATAATTGTTGCACAGTTTTTTTCTTTGTTTTTTTTAATGGTATTTTTAGTTATAGTATATTTTTTTTATAGAATAATGTTGTTAGTTTTTGTTTTTTTTGTTGAAACTAGAGCTCTTACTGTATAACACTATATGGAACCTTGGATGCTCAGTGAATAGAACCTCTGTCTCACATCTTTTGGGTTAGTGGTTTCAGTCCTACTACCACTCTGTATGTGTGGAGTTTTTCTGTTCTCCACGTCACATAGGATTCCTCTGGGTATTTCACTTTCCATCCACAATTCATTGATTTTTGGCTAGGCTAGCTGCCATCTGTAAATTGCTCATAGCATGTGATTGTGTAGGTGTGTGCCCTGTAATGGACTGGCATCACATTCAGGGTGTGTCCCTGCTTTGTGGCCTCTGTTGGGATATGCTTTAGGTCCTTGCACAACCCTGACCAGGATGAATGAATGCAATGAACTACTCATTCCTCTACCAAGTCACTCAGTAGGATAAACCCATCAATGAATATACTGCAGATGACTGTGCACTTTGCTGCCATCTGTTGATGGCAGAATGGACTCTGTCCTTGGAGTCTTTACAAAAACTATTTTACAGATATTTTAATTAGTTTGGGTCTTCTTTCATTATTGTAGTGTAATTTGATGTTTGTGTGTCCCTTGTTTTAGTGGCTAGTGAAGCGTGCTATAGAAACACGAGAAGAGATGGGGGACTACATCCGGGCCTATTCTATTTCACAGTTCCAGAAGACTCACAGTACCCCAGAGGTAAACTTGCTATAGAATGTAGCATCATCGCTAGCACAAATGTTCACTGTTTTTGAGCAATTTCATTGTTATATCCCACATAACTTTGTTCTCATAGGATAATGAGTTCATGCAGAGGAAAGAAAAAGCAATAAAAACAGTGATGGGTGTTTCCGTAAGTACAGATTCTGGTTAATTTTGGTTAAAATTTAAAATCAGAATTATATTTTTGTTTCCAACTATACATTGAACTATAAACTTGTCTTTCCTCATGAATGCTGAAAAAATGTAAATAAGATCATAAACTTTTTCCATCCATTTCTGTTCAATTATGTAACAAATAAAGCAACAATGGGTATTGCTATCTTTTATGTATTGAATATTATAATAAAGAACAAGTGTGTTGATGATGTTAAATTGTCTTAATTTTACTCCATGATTCTGGGGTAAACTGAAAATGCACTCGTAGATGTATACTTCAAGTATGAATAAATTATACTTATTCTTGTTCATCCTAACAGGACGTTTATAAGCCACAGAGGAAGTACAAAAGGCTGATGGAAGCAGCAGCCCTGGTAGACGAGGAGTCTAAAGTCCACTCTACTCTTCTGGAGTATGGGCGGTAAGTTGTGTCTTCATTCATTTCCTCAATCTTTTTTGTGGAATTACGCTTCTTTAATTGAAAAGTCATGATAGGGATACCTTTTGCTTCAGTGATAAATGTCAGGAAAAATTGTTATGAATTACTTGGCCTGGCCTTAATTAATATAACTTGTAGCTAATTATATGTAAACAAAATGGGACATTTTTATGTTGATCGGTATATCACGTACAAAGCTCACCCTTTATTCTCCACAATTGGATATGTTTACATGTGAATTTGTATGAAATGTGAATCATGTCTTCTTTGTTTTCAGGATTAGACATTGCATTGGATTTTATTGATACTGTTGCTAGACCAGAATTTCAGTTAATGAAGCATACACATTTGCGTAGATGATTACATCTGCAATCAATTAGTATGTGACAGTTCAATTGATATATTAGAAGTCTTTTTTTTTGTTGCAGTCCATATTAGTCTGAGACCAGCAATTAATAGAATAGCTCACCAGAATCATATCTGATTTTGTTTTTGATCTTAGCCTTACTGATTTTTATTTTTTTTTATCTTAATTGTTGCTAAAGAATTTCAGAGTTTATACCGTGAGTATGTTCTGAGTGCAGTTGGACTGCTGAACCTCGAGTGTTGTTCTGAATGTTTTGCAAACATAACTTGAAGTGAAATTAAACAGAAGGCTGGACTCTATCTGCATGGGCACCATGATGATTCCTGAGTGTACTGAAAGCTCACTGGATGATTTCCTCTGGTTTTATTACGTGTTGACTTGCTTTGCTATATATGATCAGGTGGACACTCCTTTGCAGGTGCAAATTCATACTGATCAGCTCCTGTTAAGCTCTTGTTTTAAAGCCAGTTGAAACTGTCTGTAGTTGTATAATGGATTGAAACAGTGTAGAAATGCATTTTCAGTGAAATTACATGAATAATTTGTAATGAAAATACTTCACAAGTGAACTATTAGTCGGGTCATTCCATGTCAAATCGTCACACTTTCGAACCTCATTGTCATGGATTTTAACGAAACTTGGCATGCTGAGTTGGTCACATGAGTACCTCATGAAACTGAAATTGGGCGAGTCTTGGATCAATATTGTGGGAGATTTAAGTGAACAAAATTTGAGCTTTATTGGGGGGGGTGCTATGGTTTTGACTGGCTATATTTATATTTATAAGCTGCACAGAAGTGGTCCTTGTATTGTTTTAAAGCTATTGTCCAGCTCTATAGATTGAACAAATAATATGCCATCCGCATATGAATAATTACAATGTAATAACCAATTAAAATATTAAACATTCAATAACAAAAAATCTAAAGCGTGTATCAAAACCACAATACCTTACAATGCTGTTAGCAGTAGGTTATTATTTTTCATGATGACTACTATTGCCAGAACTAGCTGGGGAAATATAATTTAATTTGGAAAAATTTTAATTTACTATTAAAAATGAATAAAAAGACAATGTTGCCAAAGTACCTGAAAAAAAGAGAATTACAGTAAAATCCCGTTATAACGGACTTCAAGGGACCTGGCAAAACAGTCGGTTATAGCCAAAGTCCGTTATATCCAGAGTCGCTATATACCCAGAACACAACTACAGGACACCAGTTACTCATGCCACACCCCAGCAGACACCCTTATGTTATACATTATTATATTGTACATGTAGAATCCAACTTTGCATAACTATTAATAATCCCGACTACATATCTGCACTGGATATCACTGCTGTGATACTCATGTGACCAAATCAGCAAGCCAAGTTACTCATGTGACCAAATCAGCAAGCCAAGTTTCGTTAAAATCCGTGACGACGAAGTCCGAAAGTGTGATGATTTGACATGGAACGACCCAGTCAGCTTCTTTGTGCTACTGGTGTTATCTGAAGGAGAATAAAGCATTAATGTGCTTATTTGTAAAGGGCTTGTTGGATGCTAATTAAGCTTCCCACATGCCTGATAGGCCTAATATGAGGAGCAACTCTAATTTGGCCTGTCCTTAATAAAATAAATGTCACTTGTTTGCTGTATTCTTATTCTTTAAAAATGGTAACTGGGTTATGGTAGTGTATCTATGATTGCTATGAATTACATTGTGACTGTGAAAATATGCTTTTTAGAGCACTATCAGTTCTACCCCTAGTTTGGCTCTTGCAATGACTATTGTTTATCTTTGAAGTGTTATTTTATGTTTCTGTATAATTTGGCGCTTCAAGCAAGACAAGCCCCTCACCCTGGTCCTACTTCAAGAAATAATATGAAGCTTATTTACTGATAATATATGGTCTGATTAATTTTTAGAGCACTTTTAACTAATTACATATATTAATCGAATTATTATGCTTGAAAGTATTGTCTCACAACTAGGGATGCTCATTTCGATTAATTTTCCCAACCGACAACCGCCGTTCGTTAACCGAACATTAACCGTTAACTGATTAGATTAGAATATTAAATTCCTCTGGGGTCGGCGGTCCCGCCGGCGGGATCTGACAGAAATTTCGCCAAACCATTTAAATAACTCTGCGAGGTTTTATCATATACACAT